TCATCGTTCCGATAACTTTGGTTTGCTGATTGTGCTCTGACGATTTAGAAAACCCTAACCCTAATTCGCTCTGAGTCGTTTGGCTTCCGCAACCTTCGGTTAAAATGCGGTATGGCGCGCTTTTATATGGGAGAAGGCGGTGACCGGGTTTTTCTAATCGGGTACCCGCCTCAACATCATATTATCATTGGGCTTATGGTCTGATGCGAAAATTCAAGCCCAACTGGGTGCTCTGAAATCATTTTTTCTTTTCACAGAAAATAAATTTCTTTTAAAGGAAAATTTCTTCAGACATTTTTTTATAGAGTTGGCCCATGCAGCTGGCCTATCGAAGATCACTCATTAACGCCCTATTTAATACTTTGGTGGACGATGATGGTGATAGTCTGATAGAGATAACGTAAAAAGATGATTTCATTTGTTTACTCATACACAATAATCTCAGAGATCCTCATTCATATGCCAACTTTTTGAATCAGTATCATTTTTTTTTAAAGTACAAATGATAGTCTAAAATACAGTAGAGGAGAGTTTTTCATACACATATATAACTAAGATGCAAGGGAGGCCTTGAGCATAGGCGAACAAGGCAGTCGCCTAGAGCCTCCAAATTAGAAGGGCCCCAATTTTTATAAACCACTATATACACGTAGTGAAATTATATAGTGCATATGTATGTTTCTTTAAAAATTGCACTATATTAATATTATATTAAGCCCAACTGCTATTAATAAATAAATAAAAACCCAATTATTTACTCTAAAACTAACAAAAATGGAAACTTAATAAGGGATCTTTTTTTTTTTTTAAAGGCTTTTTCTAAAGTTAAACCAGTTGAATAGGTTAACCAAGTGACATATAACTTAGCAAAAACCAAAAAACAAAAAAACCTAGCAGCATATAAAGAAATCTGCTCTACTCAACACAAGAAAAAAAAAACAAGTAGTTTATTATTGAATATCTACTGCAAGAGGAATCGATCTTCGAGGAAGAACAAGAAGGTAAAAACCCACAAGACTATTGCTTATATTTTCTATTGAAAAATACATCGTAGAAAAACTTGATTATGCAAAGTTAATTGATACTTTGGCATCGAAAAATGCAAGACGAGTGATGTTTTGATGCATTTTATAAAGTTGTTATGTGAATTTCATTTTGTTTATTTATGTTTAGGTTACAATTATGACTTTGAGTTCATATAATTTTTTTTAACTTATCAATATATATATATACACACACACACATAGAGAGTAGAAGACCACATTTTGGTAGTTTGCCTAGGGCCTCTAAAACCTTAGGACTACTACTACTAAAATGTGATGTGGATTCAAAACTGAGATCTCTAATATGCAAATCAATGTTATTTTTCACTGAACTAGACCTCAATGACTTAATAATTAAGATATTGCCATATCATATTAGGCTTTACTCTATCAAATGTGAAAGTGACAATAAGGAAGATTATAACAAAATTAATTTTTTTTTGTTTTTAAACAAATGTTAAAGTAGAATTATTGGAGTGGAGAGGAGAGCATGGACCATGGACTTTAAATGAGGCAGACGGGCCATAACATGCTTGATTGGGAGCGCACTAGACTTCCAAACGTGCGAATTACGGTGATAACCCTTCGGTTGTCTTTCTTTGACATTGTCAGCTTTAAATTCTTTGTCGAGGAGATTTTTCTTTTTCTTTTTTACCCTCATATCGACATGAGATGGTAAGATACAATTCATCATCATATATGATTGATGGCCAGTGGCAAACTTTATCTTGCCAGTAAATCCAGCTTCTCCAACTTAGATTTTGAATTTTGTGATATATGTGATAATTTGATACTTTTGACATTAAATTTTACGGGATGTCAATTACATTATACTTATTGCCTTCAAATCCATGTACGACTTGGTTTAGTTTGAATTTATCCCTCCAACTTCTGTCATTTAATGACCACCTAAATTTGACATATATACTGGAGGCACTGAAGTGCCAAAGCCACCTTAGTGGGAGAAAACATGTATATGGAAAACCTTAATTAATACCTTTAATTGCCTTCTCGCATGTTATGTTATGTCATTTAATTCATGAGGTATCTCCCTCCACGTAGTATTTTAGAGTATCTTCAAGGGAGATGTCAAATGCAAAATGTAAAATTTGAATTTGATGGCTTATGTGGTAATTTGACATTTTGAAAAAAAAATTAACTCCATCTGCAAAGCCAAACATCATATTATTTTATTATATTTCTAAAAGAAAATGGGACCCATATGATGCATAAAGTTTTAAAAGAAAATAAATGATAGTGGGGTCTATAAATAAAAAAATAATATTTAACATCAAGTTTTTTGATATGTTATTTTTGACATATCTCTTCGAGTCTTTAAATCCATGTAGAATTTGACTACTCGGTTGGAGCAACTTTAATCTTCAATTTTTGTCATTTCATATCCATATAGCAATATAACATATCGGTTAAAAATGTTCTTATATCACCTAAGATGACATATCGTTTAGAGATTATATCTATAATTATTCAAATCACATTATTAATTGCTCGAGGAGCTCCCGGTAGAAACAAATGTTGGCATAACTTTATGATCATCACATCATCAAAGAATCTGACTACTGATCTTTTTATGCTAAAAACATACGTATGATTTGACTAGACTCTCTTGCTACGATCCCATCGGACGGCCAATATGCGGTTATCATAGTATATGTGGTATATGAATTCATCCGTACGAGATAAAGTGGGCCCACATGACGGAAGGGACCAAAGTTGACCACCTGGGCATCTAGAGACAAACCAAATTCCGAAGATGCTATTCAACTCAGCTGTTTCTCTATCCTTACTGCATTTTGGGATAAATTAATTTCTGTTTTATTTTGTTTGGCCTTGATTTTATACTTAAGTAGCACCTATGTAGTTAGCATTAAAGCTCCTTTTCTTAATTAGGTCAAAGTTAGTCGAAATGTTGACGTGGCAAGTACAGATTGGACGAGATTAGTATTTTGTCTAACTTAATTGACCAAGTAAATGAAAGGGGCTTGATTGCAAAAGTTCTTACCTACAAAGGCATTATTGTCATAATCAAAATTCATGAATTATAATAAAAATACGTGGATGATAAGGCTCTTGTGAAACCCACAATATTATGAGTTTGTTTTTCAAGTGACATTTGGAAGGGAGGATTCAAACACAGAACCTCAAATATATAAGTAATTACTCATAACCAGTTGAACTATAAATCCTTTACTGCAATACTGTGAATTTACCTTCTAAACAAATTATAGTTATAAAAAAAAAAAACTACCATGTGATTCATGGTAATTGGCTGCATCGGCCTAATAACCGAGTGAGTTGAGTTATAAAGCATTTTAACAAATTGTCATGGTTGACAGTGTATTAAAATCCTAAATGTTAAATAAGAGACATGTAGATCAAGTACTTAAGAACAATTATTTATGTACTCAAAGTCCTGTGTTTGAATTCCCACTCATCTAATATTGTTTGTATACAAAATCCGAAAAAATAAAATTTGAGTTCAAAATCACAATCAATTCCTAGGGACCAAGGCAAAGTGTAATATACTAATAATAATATGTTCGTTTGATTAGACAGGTTAAGTACTGATTAGGGTAATGATTAGGCAGAAAAATAACTTTTTTGCTTTTTGAAAAAGTTTTGGTTTTTGGCAAAAATCAACCCCCAAACCCAAAGGCCTCGGGGTGGTGTGGTTGGCGGGACATTATCTTCTTTCTTATATGGCAGGCCGTCCATCCAATCACCGTTTCGTCGGTGCCCCTCGCTCGCTACCAACCAACCCACGCTAATAATAATTTCTCTAACCCGCCCTTGATATTTGTTTAATGACTGACTTATCCCTCTCCCCTCATACTATTGTGTTATCTCATGTGCACGGCAGTGAGGATTTTCTATTGGGATGACTACATTGCCCTTTTTGTTTCTTTCTGCAAATTCATATCTCAATCATGTTAATGTTATGTTGCATAAGATTGTGGGTTGGGTTGTACTTGTATCTTGTTTGATTGTTCATTGCTAATGAAATAGGTAATTGGGTACGTAGGTTTCATATGAAATAGCAGCAACTTTAATTAATTTCTTTCTTGTTTTACGTTAGTAAATACGTTATCGTTCTCGTCTGAAATGATAAACTCAATCACTTCTCACCTCTTACCTCTAACCTTGTTGTATCTCCAATTGTCTTATACCAAAAAAGAAAAATATCGAAAAGAAAAAAAAGAAGGAAAGACATTCATTGTGGTTGAAAGTAAAAAAAGAAGGTTTTGAATTAATGAAAAAACATTGATTCTCACTTTATTATCCACCACATGGGTTTTAGCAATCTTTTGAACAAGTACTTACCCAAAAGAAAAAAACTTTTGGAACAAAAAACCTTGTTAAGCACATGATAATTGGACTTGAAGCTGAGTATTTATCTCTATGAGCGGAAACAACAAGAGACAATTTTATGAACCAAAAACAGAAATTATTCAGAGGTATTTTGGTCAACTTATAGACAATGGCACCTATTGGCTAAGGCACAAGGGGTAATACCGAAATTTCAACCAAATTGCTAAAGTACACACAACACAAGTATACGTTCTGCTTACTACTATTCATACCCTTCTCTATCTAAAAGACCTGTCTCTCTACAGTCGCACCTAAATACCACCACCAGTCCACCACCACCCTCTTCTTAATAATACAAAAGCAAAATTAAATGGGAAATAAAAACAAAAGGTGGTAGATGCATGAGACACAAATACACACAACACTCTCTCTCTCTCTCTCTTCGCTCACCACCTTCCCTTCCTTATAAATCCCAATCTTTTTTGCCTTTGCCAGGGATTTTAATTAATTAACACCTGCCTCTAATTCTCCGCGGCCTCTGTGCTCTGTGCTTCAACAACCGCCACCTTTTCTGCCTCCTCAGGTACAAAGAAACTGACTCTCTTTGCCCAATGGCTTTGTTTTGTCTCTTTTCTTGATGGGTTGTTTTGTTTATTCATGGTTTGTTGACTGAGTTTGTGGTCATGGGCATTTTGGGTTGACGAGGTTGGAGCCGCAGAAGGGTTCTTCTTCATTGTGGGGTTTGTGGGTTGGTCCTGATTTTCTGTGTTGTGGCTTGTGTGAGAGTGTATTTGGTGTTTTCTTTGAATTTTGGCTGTTGGGTTTTGTTTTTGCTAATATCCCCTTCCGTGAAAGGTGGTAGGTTGGTGGGTTGACTTAGCTTTCTAAGGTCAGACATTAGGAATTTTTATCAATTTAGGTTCTTTTCTTGGATTCTAATCCCATCTAACATGATGGATGATTTAGTTTTCTATATGCAACTTCATGATGGCTGGAAGTATTGTCACCTTGCACCCAATTCTGAACGAATGAGAGATATTGAAGTCATGTAATGGATGAATTTTGCTTGCCTCTACTGATTTCCGTTATATTCTCATTCCACTTGCGACTGTTTTAGGTTGTATAAGCACCATTAGCATTGTTTCTCTACTCACTTTAATCAAAGGCAAACACGGTTCTTTAGTAACTAACAGGGGAGGTTACTCTTAATTTTGCCTTTAATCATTAATTTGTTCCTGCCATGGTGACAGGTCTGAGTCATGGTGACAGGTCTGAGTTACTCCAGTTCCTTATAGCTTCTGTTGAGATGATTTGTGGTGGTAGGGATAAAAGTCGGAAATACTTTTAGACATATGACTACTTGATGATCTTTTTTCCTCAATTCCTTCTCAATTATGAATGGTATTGTAGTAGTTTCTTTGGAAGTGCAGACCTTCACTTATATTGCTTATGAATTTCGTTGATGTATGGTAAAAATAGTCTGTTCTTAAACTTTTATCCTTTAGTGTTGTTGTATGTAGTTACTGTCACTGTGTTTTGATTTCCTTGCTTATTTGTGTTTCTAGCGCTTGTATAATGTAATAAATATATAATTTTTTGTAGCATTATAATTGTTACGTCGTTCCCGTTTGAAATTCAAAAATATATACATATATTTACGTTTTATTATAATAGTTCTGCTTGATTTATCCCAGGAATAGGTGGTACATGAGAAAGGCCATCAAGTGAGTGTTGTGCTTCAATAATTAAGTTGAAATAAACCATGGTGAGCTTAAGAAGACGCAGACTCTTGGGGCTATGCTCTGGTAATAATCAGTTGAATTGTGCTATACAATATATGATGATTTCTTTTGTTGAATAGCCTATATTCTTCTTCATATTTTATTTAAAAAAAAATCCTGTATCCTTCTTCTGCTCTTAGTAATTAGCTTGTTTATCCATTTTGAGTTTTAAGTTGTGTTATTGTAACCTGTCAGCGCTTTGAGATAGATTTGCAGTTTGATGACTAAGAATCTAATTCAGTAGGTTCTTTGCTTATGCTTAAATGACACCAAATTCTTGGTCTTTGCAGGGGTAAGTCCTGTTCTAGATCCACTTCCTAGGCTTTGTGACAATGGAACTGTTCCTCAAAATTTTACTTGGACAAATCCTGTCAGTGTGCATCCCATGCCTTCAAATGATGCAAATCAGCCAGATGGGGTAAGAATGGATTATCAGTCAGTCCATATTACATGCATCAGATGGGCCACTTGTTTTCTTCAAAGGTTTTATTAGTGTGTTCAAGACACTTGTCAGGCAGGATTCCTAATTTTTTAAATTTATATACGTATGGCAAGAGAATACTCCATATATATATATATATCTATCTATTTTAGAAAGAAAAATGTGTATGCTGCTGCGTGTCTTGATAGCGTTGTTGCTGTTTTATATGAAAGTAAGCTGAGAGGGGGAACTTGTGTCAAAAGGTAAGCTGATGTGGCAAACCATTTGAGATGTTAGTGCCCCCAGACCTTGTTTTGTGGCCAAGTATGCTCTTAATTCCTAGTTTCTTGATCTAGAAGGTTATACAGCAGCATGTTCTTGTACAAATATTTATTTTGAAGGATTTAATCAGCCAAAAAAAGAAAAAGCCAAACCATAAGTACGAAACCGAAAACTCTATTTTGGAAGAACCCACTAGAGATTCTATATTCCTTATCAATTATTTCTTGCCTTTTCTGGTTAGTTTAAATGGCATGCCATACTCAGATATAATCCAAACTTAATTCTTCTTAACCTATTCTAAAACTCAGGTGTCTAACAGCATAAGTTTCTATGCTTTATTAATATGTAAAACAGCTGTCACGGTGTATATTCCAAAATGTATTATTTGCTATTCGTGTCTACTTATGTTCATTTTAGCTGATTCTTTATTTATTACCAGAATGCCAGCGTGAAAGTAGAAGCTCGGTCGCCAACTGCATCTGGTTCTAGCTTATCCAAAGAGCAGCATGATCAGCAAGTTGCAGGTTTGTTATTTAAATTAAATTTGTTATCATTTTGTAACCCAAAAAATTTTGCTATCGTTTCTATTGATGTATTAGATAGATTAGAGTGCTGGATGCCTTGGCGACTTCATCCTTTTGAAATCTGTATCTTTTGTCTTTACGTAATGAGGAACATCGTGGTTATTAAAAAGGGAGTTTCACTAAAACACCCAAAATGGGGACTGAAATTATAAAAAAACCCAACACCCAAAACACTTTATAAACACACCCAAAAAATATACAATTGTTGATTTTGGGGTTGATTTTGGGTGTGTTTCTATGTTTAAATAGTGCTTGGGTTTTTTTATAAATACATGTCTAGGATTGGGTTTATTTATAAATTTGTATATTAAAAAAAGGAAAAAAATTTCTTCTTGTGGTTCTGTATTTATTTCTCGGAGGAGATGAGAGTTTTTGATTGTGCAGTTATTTTCTCCTTTTGGTATACTTTGCAGAGGTTAGACACACCCCTCTTTTGATGTTTTTAATCATATATTTATGTGCAACTCTATATATAAATACAAAGAATCTTGTATTTACCTAGGAATCCTGCACACGACATATTATTGATAATAGAAATACTACAATTAATATGTAAGTTAATCCTTTAAAAAGGGTTTGAGGTGCAATGTTGGTTTTGGAGGTTTATGCCAGTGTTTCAATTTGATATTTTCTAATACATAATATGCTATTTTCAGGGCCACCAATAAAACGCAGAAAGCGACATCGGAGAAAGCATTTCCAAAACCAAGAACCATGTCTAATGAGAGGTGTCTATTTCAAAAATATGAAGTGGCAAGCAGCTATAAAAGTTGACAAGAAACAAATCCACTTGGGCACTGTTGGTTCACAAGAAGAGGCTGCTCGTTTGTATGACAGGTACAACTGCATCTTTGTTAATATGAACAATTTATATCAGATGAGCACTATAAGGAATAGCAAGAATGTGTAGCATATTCAAGGTCTTCCAGTTGTGCATAGCCCGTTGATAATGATCGTTCCCCTTCAAAGATAACGTATACCAGTTGACATAATTTGGAGAACCACAAACCATTTACACTTCTCTTTTGTCCTCCCTGGGGAATTCTCCTTATTAGAGGTTGGTCATCATGTTGTTACAAACAGTATGAACATAGGTTCTTCTACATTCTACTTTTTGTTGCACCTTCAAATGAAACAATATTAGTCTTCATTGTTGCTTCACTGGTTTTTCCTGTCCACATTCTTCAGACAGGGTCTCCATTAGATAGGACATGCCATCCTAAATGTTCATTCCAGCCAGTTTTCTGCTAGGCGTCTAAGTGTTCTGTGTCTTAAATTTTCATCAGTATCTTCTTTTGTCTTCTAATGGTTAGCTGTGTCCAATACTCTCCCATCAGTTTATTTCTTTTATTTCTTTTCTGAATTTTGTTCTGCGAGTCTATACTGTATTGTGTCTGCCCTTGCCAATATGATGTAGTGGTTCATGCCACTCCCACAACATGCAAAAACATGAACACGAACATGATAAGCCAAATGGGAAAAGGGTGTAAGCGTTATGTATAAAATGCTATATTATAGCACATATATAACTTTGTTAGTATTATTTATTTGGATTCAGGGCTGCTTTCATGTGTGGGAGGGAACCAAATTTCGAGCTTTCTGAAGAGGAGAAGCAAGAACTCAGGAAATTCAAGTGGGATGAGTTCTTGGCCATGACTCGTCATGCAATCACCAACAAAAGTAGTCTTTCCTCTTGTCTTGTCTAATGTTCCTCAGGCTTTATGTAGTTTAACTCTCTCATGGTTTGCTTTCATAAAATATTGCAGAACACAGGAGAAGGCCCGGGGCAGAGTCACACAAGAGGTCTGAGACTCCATTGGAAAATGGTGACTGGGATGACAAAGAAGAAGTAGACAGTCTCTCGGCTTCAGAAGATATGGAGCAGGATATGTTAGGCTCTTGAAGATAATGGTTCAAGGAGAATGCTTAATTTTCTATTTCTTAGCAGTTAAGTGCTAGCTGATAGGCCTCCATTTTTTAGTGTATAAAGGCCCACATTAGGGCAAATGGTACATTTTATTGTCTCTTGATAGGCAAATGCTCCCAATAATTAGTCTCAGATTAGAACCATCATTAGTCGCTAATCGCTAGTGGTCAAATAAACCCATACAAAGCGATAATTATATTTTTCCGGTGGAAATTTGCAACCTCTTTTAAGTTGTTAATGCTTGAGAAACTTATTTCAAGATCCATATCATCTGTAGATTAATTTATTTTTGATTTCTTATTAGCTGATCAATGTGATCACATCCTAAATTTGATTGAGATACTGCTATATCACATAGCAATGACCCTGTGGCCCGAAGTTTAGCAATACTTCTTGTGTAGGTCACATTGGTGAAAGCACATGAATAAGAAATGTTAACTCATTTTTTTCTTCGTGTTTCTTTTCTTAAATAAGCCCATTTAGGTTCTTGAAGTTCATATTTTGCTGAAGTTTTCTTTAACAAAACGTGATTAATTTTAGTTAGTTAGCTTTTTAAGTGATGATTAAAAAAGTAATTTTCAAAACGAGAAAGATTTTTCATCAACTCTTCTCTCTCTTAGAAGATGTTTGTCGATATCGTATTGAAAGCGTGTCGATATTATTGTGAGATAACATGTCAATAGCAAAAACGTACTAACATGTTATCGGTGGTCTACATCTGACTATACGTAGACCTGCGAATCCGGTTCGACCACAAAAATTATGAACCCTCTTGATTATTAATTATATTTTTGAAAAGAAGAGAATTTATTCTTTTTGGGCCAGTAAGAAAAAGAAGAGGACTCTTCTTCTTGGGCCGGTAAGCAAACATAGGAGATTGACAACCAACCCAGAAACCGACCCCATGGCCTGCGCAACACCGCCTCCCTTAACAAAACGACTCAGAATTTTTCACGTTGAAGACTGAAGTGAACTCAGGCGAAGCTGAAAAAGAGCAAAAGCAATTTCATAGCTTTCATAATAATCATGGCTTCAGATGATCCCAAAGCTATAGAAGCAGAGCCTCCATCTTCGTCTTGGAAGGAGCGCATCGTCTTTCCCACTCTCCTCGCTGGGATTGTTGGTGGAGGAGCTGGTTTGGTCTCCAAGCATCGAAAAGTTGTGGGTCTTCCAACCAGTTGTGCAACTTATGCTGCTAATTTCGCCATTGTCACTTCTTGTTATTGCGGTAAATTTCATTGCTTTCTGTTCGAATTTCAATATCCAGCTTCAGCTTTATGTACCCATTTGATTTGATTGGTTAAGGTGTGTGAAAATGCCAAATTGGGCATGTCATATGGAAAAGGAGCTGTGGAATTGTAATGGGTTTGTTTGACTTGGCAGGGGCTCGTGAATATGTGAGTGTAACTCGAAAAACTGGACCGGATGATCTGGTAAACTCTGCAATTGCCGGCTTTGGTACTGGTGCTATTCTTGGGCGTCTTCAGGGTTAGATTCCTTCAATCTTTCTCTCTTGTGCGTGTGTTTGGAAACTAGCGTGAGAAATGGGGTTTACTTTGCTGTGATCAGCTTGTGTGAACTTTCATCATATGGGATTGGAACAATGTGATAGTTAATGACTGAAATTACCTTGCCTGTTAACCTATAGACTAGTAGTTTGGACTTGTGTCATTCATTTGCAGTGGTTTGTACTGTCTATCTGACCTAACCCCAGCTAATCTCGGATGGCAGTAATATGTTTTGGCTATTAGGAATGCGTTCTTTGTCCTGTAAAAGAATCACGAATTTAATTTTTTGGATTCTAGTAAGAAATGTGAGCTCAATTGCTGAGCTCTAAGTCATGTAGTCTTTCTTAGAGGAACTAGGGAGTTTCCTGATTCCAGTGAAGTTGAGATATAGCTTAGCTGGGACTTAGTTGCTTTAGTAGAAATGATCCATCCATTGCCAGCTTTGAGCACGACATCACTAGTTGAGAGACATGTTTCTTTACTGATTGGGCTATCTCTATTGATAGAGCACATACTCTACAGCCGTGGTATTTCTGACTCTCGAATTTTCCCTCCCAAGGCCTTAGACCTCTTTTAAACCATACAATACGTTCATAGGATCTGGATATGCCAGCTTGTGCTCAACTCAACTAACTCCCGGAGTCCTCAAACCACCTGGAGCCATCAACACAAACTTCTTGGCACACAAGTTGCGTCCGTAAAATTGTGATTGCTATTAGAAAAAGGGTTATATGTTAATTGTCTCCTTAACTGTTCACACTACTTTGAAATCCTGCCTCCTGACAAAACGTTGTTAAATTGTTTTGCTCATTGGCATGCAGGTGGTCGAATTGGTGCCGTACGCTACTCAATCATCTTTTCTGTTGTTGGGACAACAGTGGATTATGCTACAATTAAACTAAGACCTGTCTTAAAGAGCTACAAAGAATCTATGCTTGGGAGTAATGACGGTAAGAATGCAGGTTGGCTGAAAATGCCTGAGTGGTCTCCTATCAAAGTACTCGATGAGGAAGCCCTTGCTGCAAAGCAGGCTCGTGAAAAACAGATGTATGCACAGAGGGCAGCACTTGGTAACCTTAGCAAAGAAGAGTCCTGAGATTTTGTTAGATGTATGTCGAATTCTTATATATGTCAATAATAACATTTCTGGGGCATGCTTGTTCGCATTTTTAGTTTTAATTGCCTTTCTGTTTCACTGTTAATCACCCGTTTTAGGGATGAATTTGCAGTTTCTACTCGCTGTACTGGTGAGGTCTTTTTAAATGTCAAAAAGACAGATAGAAATATGCAAGTTGATTATTGACTTTTGGAATCAAATTCAAAATCAAACATTAATCAAAATTCCTCATTTCTTGCCTAAGTGCTGCATTCTCTACTGTGGCGCCCTCTATTTGTTCAACCAACTCTAAAGTCTGATAGCACGAATGTTCTTGCAACTCTTGGCTCGTCCAAGGTGATGCTTATATTCTTTATAAATGATGTCGAAGGATTTTTTGGCAAATCCTTCAATGAGATTAGCTTTGCAAATTTGATTCTCTGTACTATACATTCAAGCAAATTTGTGGTAATGAAAATTTCCACACAAAAACGAATAAGAAAAAAAATAGAAGAAATACCGCTAAGGGTTGATGTTGCATTCTGTAGACATCAATGGAAAGAAAAAAAAAATTGTTCCAGGGATAAAAAGTATCGTTACCATCATGTACAAAAAAGCCATTAGCCGATATCATTGCTAATCGTTTTACATCTACGCAAGCTGGGGTCTAGAGTACTCCACAACTCACCGCAATTGTAAACTACATTGTAACAGATCAGCATCAAGGAACCTCCCTGTGATGTCTTACAATTTTATGAAAGCAGAGAGACAAGGGAAACAAATTCCAGCGTTACACGGCCCTTGGACCTTGTGTTGATGACAAAGTGTTCTGGGTATTTTCTTAGCAACATAAGCAAGCCGTACCATGGTTTCCCTTTTGACTCAGGGCCAGGCCAGTCCTCAGAAGTGAGATACCGCCGCACTCGAGTGTGATGCCAAATGCTGCTATACTGCTCGACCAACTGAACACGAGTGACATGGGAGTAAGGCAGAAATCCAGGGTTTAAACCTCATAGAATTCGCATGACAAAACCAGAATTCGGCACACACATATATACATGCAAAGCAAAAGCCTAAAAACTGCCAGTCAATGGCCATTGGGAAACAAGTGTAATTTGTACTCAGATGCATTCTACATACATAATCATTAAACAAAAGAAAGATCAATGCAGTTGCTTTCGGTAAGGAAGGAGTTGAAGATTAGAAACTAAATAAGTGTTAAATATTTTGTTCATCAGAATATGTCAAGACTAACCTCAGTATGAAGTTTCTCCATAGGCATCCATTCTCCAGGACCACAAAGATCAGAAAGCACTGTAGCAACAGATGACACAACGTCCTTTTCCTCCAAATGCAGAAGTTGCTGATTATCGGTGTCTCGATCAACCCTTGATCTTCCATCTCCCTTCTTCTCTGCAGAGATTAAAGATAAAATTATGTCAAAGAAAGAACAATAGTTACAGTTCATAGGTCCAAATAAACATGCATGTACTGTTTATGATTAAAACTTTTAAAAGGGAGAAGAGAAAAATTGTCAATGCAAGTGTTCAAAATCAGGGAGGAAATATATATTTTGAGTGTCACCATGGTTCAACATCAAACAGATCAATCCTATAACTAGTGTTCATGTAATCCTAGTATTCATGGACACATAGAACAACCTAGAAAAAAAAACACAAGCAATAATATCAGAAAGACGGCCAGAGAATCTACAGTCAGGTGGAGCTGGAGCTAAAGAAATGGTTTTGAATCTATGGTTTGCCCTGGTTCCTCTGAAGAAACGAAAAAACACTAGTTCACAACCATTAGAGGTAAACATAAACCACAAAAATGATGAAGACAAAAACTATTCCGATAAGGAACACAATGAAATCAGAGAACAGAACCAGGAAGAAAAAAACTGAAAGCGGTAGTGCCACAAAATTCAAAATGCAATAGCGTAGCATCTAGGACGTGTGTTGTTCTCCATCGAGAACAAGTTCAAAAGTTTCTGAAACAATCTCCTACAGACTGTGAAACAAACAGAACAATGCAACTCAAAACCCCAATTTACGAAAACGCCAATACTTCACAGAAATTCAAGCAGAAATTGGCGGAAGTCCAGACTGAACTTAACATATGATGGAAAACGCTTGACAATATCATGATTCATATGATTCAAAAAACACGACTTCACATTACAATTGCTATATCCACAATAAGTCCATCGATTTATCAAACTCTAGGCAAGAGAAAGAAGCAAAAAAAAAAAAAAAAAAAAAAAAAAAAAAAAAAAAAAAAATTGCATCACCCCCAAAAAACCCCACATTTTATAAACCCCAAGGAAAAAAAAAAAAAAAAAAAAAAAAAAAAAAAAAAAAAAAAAAACACTAACCCAAAGCTCCGGCCTTGCCTGACCCAGAACCCGACCCACCACCATACGCAAAACCCTCATACCCTTCTCTCCTCATCTTCTTCCCACTCCCACTCCCACCACCGCCACCACCAACATCCTCCTCTTCCTCATACTCCTCCTCATAAAACTCCCTCCCCCTCCCCTTCTTCACAATCGGCCCGGTCCCCGAACCCGAATGGTACCCGTAATGAGTCGGGCCCACCGGGCTCGGCACCGCCACCGAGGCGGCGTAATGCCTGGGGCCCACAGGCCCACCGAGAATACTCCTCACCGGCAACAGAAAATAGAACTCCTTGTCGCCGATCTGAAGAAGGTCTTGCGAGTCGAGCTTGACCGGCGCGTTTCCGGGAAGGTGGAGCACGCCCTCGACGAGGCAGCCGTTCTTGCCGAGGACCTCGAGCGCGAAACGGCGTCGTGTGAAATCGTAGAAAATTCGCGCGTGGTGGCGCGAAATGTTCATGCCGCCGCCGAGGCTCGAGAGGTCGACGTCCACCGTTGATTTCTTGGAATTCCGGCCCAGGATTATGGAGTAGGTCTGCATGTAGTACTCAAAGTCTTCGCCTTGAAGCTTGGCGAAGCCGGCCTCCACATCGCCGCTGGTCGCCGCCATTGAAATTTTCACAGATAGTGGATCGGAGAAGAAACTGATATATGCCCAAATCCCAATTGGGTTGGGTCTACTTCTTCTCAATGACAAATGGGGTTTATGGGGCAGATTGTGGGATTTTATTGTGTGAACGGGGTCAAACTAGAAATAAAACAAATTGTTTTCTTCTTTTTTTTTTTGGTCTGAAATTGTTTTCTTCTTTACCGAAAAGTTAATTTTTTTATATTCGCAAGCTTGCCCTTTGGGGTCTATTTACCCCCCTGAATTTTCTTTTCTGCCCGCCTACCCTAACGAACACTTTCATCTCCTTCGATCTTCTTCTTCTCCGCCAGGAAATTCACGGTAATTCTCTCTACCCATCTCGAAAGACTTAATATTTTTGCTAAAAATCCTTGCTTTCTTTCAAGTTGAGTAGAGTTGTGAGGTTAAATATCTGTCTTTCTTTAACAAATTTATGAGTTTGTGAGGTAAAATGATTATGCATTTGTTTTGGGGAATTAGAGGGATCTATTATTGGAATTTGGTGCACTATAGATACACTTGCTTTTTGTTTGGGATCTCATATGATCCATGGCTTGACACACATGTTTGCATTAGGGTTTGCTCTTGATTTTTATTGCATTTGCAATGAGTTTTTTATTTAAAAAGTGGGCAACTTTAATTGAAATGCCAGTCTGCCAGATGATGATGGGAAAGCGCAAGGGCTTTGAGTTTCAGATTACCATTACATGCACTGGAACAAATGAGATGGATAATATGATCTATCCCTTCTGATGGCAGCTAATCAGCAACTATTGCACGAAGTTTACAATTTTACAGTGCTGATGCAGAAGGAAATTCTTCTGTTCTCTCTTCATCTCGTCCTGTTGTGTGCAGGGCATTGATTGAAGGTTCTCACACCTTAATTTAATCATGTGGTTGAGTGAGAGCAGTGAGGGAGTGAGTGACCACTGTCATATCACAACGGCACCTGTCCCCATTTGTTAATTTCTAGGTCATTGGGATAGTAGATTAGGTTGTCAAACCCCCAAGGGAGGGAATGAGGGAGGTGTTTAGGGGAAGTGGAGGGCCTACTGGACTGCGTTAAGAAAAGAAGTGGGTGGTCAGGGCTTTATGTTTTCAGCATTCATGGGTGGAGAATTCCTGGACAAGCATGGTTGAATGAGTTAGTTGGCTCTAAGGTTTAATTAGATGCAGTATGATCTGCGATTCTTTGATATAGGACAGTTGTTCCTGTCATGTAATATTGTAATGACTAACGAGTTTTAGATTTAAAAAGCTGGCAACTTTAATTGAAACTGCCAAGTCTACCAGATGATGTTGGGAAATTGCGCAAGGGCTTTGAGTTCCAGGTTACCTTTTACATGCACTGGAACAGTGAAAAGGATAATATGATCTATCCCTTCTGATGGCAGCTATTGATCAATGATTGCACAAAGTTTACATTTTTACAGTGCAAATGCAGATTCATCTGTTTTCTCCCATCTTGTCCTGGCTTGAGCAGGATAATGATTGAATTGTTCTCATACTATTAATTTAAATATGTGGTTGAGTGACCAGTGAGAGAGTGAGGGACCTCCGGCTCTTATAGCACAGCGGTACCTCTCCCCCTTTATTAATACTTAGGTTACTGGCTTGCCTACTAGTCAAGTAGGTAGTCAAACCTCCAAGGGTGGTGATTGGGTTGGAGTTTAGGGGAAGGGAAGGGCTAATGGACAGCCGGAAAAAAATATATAAGTGGGAGTAAGGCCTGTATGTTTTTTTAGCATTCATGGGTAGAAAATACCTGCACAAACGGGTCATGTTAGCCTTTTCTTTTTGTTCTGAATTTATGAGTACAGTTGAACTGGTTACACTTGCTGTTGAATTGATTGTGTGTGCCATTCTGCTGCATTCTTTATTTTCTTTTTTTGCGGTGTTGCTTGCATATTTAAGATACTTGTTTCACCATGGATACACGTATGAAATCCACTGCAGACATGCATTGCCTTGTGTTCTTGGTCACAATTCTTTTGTTGCTTTAGCACACTTGAAAGACATTTTATGTTATCAAGCAAGATATGATAGTGGTCCACCTGTGGTGCTTTTTTTTCTTTTCACTTATGTTATTTGTAACTTACAGAGGAGTGGGAACTCTTCAATATAAATCAATGAAGCATATTGTGAAAATTATGACATTGTTGGTGGCCATCTCTGCCTTGTGGATTGGTCTCTTACAGACATCAATTATCCCACGTAGTCATACTTGGTTGGTGAGTTATTTGTATTTTGGTTGGTTTATGTCAACACCTTTCACTTATTCATGTTATATGATGCTTACTATGCCCTGTTTCTACCTTCTTCCCAGCTACCAATATATTTCATTGTGTCTCTAGGATGCTATGGGCTCCTAATGGTTGGAGTTGGTCTGATGCAATTTCCAACTTGTCCTCAAGAAGCAATATTGTTGCAGCAGGTAGTTTATTTTTCTATTTATTTTCTGTTCAGTTTAGATTGCTAAATCATACTTTTTTTAAGCTCTGTTACACACATCTCTCACCGATTTCTTGTATATATGTTTTGAGTTTGAGACTTATGCATAATATGGATCCATCCTGAGCTTCCATTGTCGGCCTTTGTCATTAGACCACTATCTTTTTTTTTAAAGTTACTGAGAAAAGCCATGTTTTAAACTCTTTTTCTAATCGTTTTTATCTCCTGTAGGATGTAGCTGAGGCCAAGGAGTTTTTGAAGCAGAAAGGGGTCGATGTGGGTGGTTGTGATTGATTCTGCACACAGAGTTCTGCCTCAGTGTTTCGATACAAAGAAAAGACCTAATTAAATGCAGAATCCATTGAACTCCGTGCATTCTAGCAATGGTATGGTGGAAGACTTCATAACAGTTCATTGCTTCCACCTGACGGGAAAATTGGGAAGGTTTTACTAGGTGAAGCAATGAACCCCTTTGGAGTTTTTAACTTTAACAACAAACATTAAGCCTTTTGGCTTATTGAATTGTGGGAAATAGAAAGAACTTTGGAAAGTGTACATGTTATAGTTGATCATTTCCTGTTTATGTCTCAGAAGAAATTTGTATCCTTTGTTCTTTTTGCTACAAGTATACAGGCTTTTATCAAGTGGGACTCTCTCTCTCTCTCTCTCTCTGAATGTCAACAAAAATGTATGTTGGGAGATTCTTTGTGTTCTGTCATGGTGGCCCATATATGTACCTAAAGAGGCCAGAGGTGTTTCTCCTGCATCCAGTTGCACATAAAGAGGTCTTCCTGCATCTGTAGGATGCATGACTGGGGCTCTGAACCACAGGGCGCACTGAGGTCAGTGCATCATGTGGTCCTAGTCTCCACCTTCGTGTATGTGAGACTGGATGCAGGGACAAGATCTCTCAGAGAGAATACTTCATCACTAAAGAAGAATAAAGGCCAAAGTTGATTTTCTTTGTTCTTTTTCTTTTGATCCTCATCATGAACCCATGTTCGTATTTGATCTACTTGATCGGAAAGGACAAAGCAACCAGGCAAGGTGAAACATAGCCTAGCTTTAATTGCCATTTTTTTTTTCCTTTACCTATCATGTTTATCCATAAATCAATGATCAGAGGAAGAAGGATGACAGAGGTATCTTTAACTCTTGAACAAATTATTGAAGATCTTATTAAGCAATGATAAGTCCCATCGAACACTGTAGGATATGAGAAGTTACTGAGTAATTCGACCTCTCACATTGGGGTGGACCTGTCATTTTGTGTATGGGGAAACATTACTCCTTGACTGTGAACTCATATGGAATATTATATAATGTCAAAATCACTTTGAAAGTACAAATAAAGCAGATTATAGATATAATTTTTTTATTTAAAAAAAAACTCAAAATAAATGTTTGATTAGTATTTAAAAATTGAAATCAACGAACTTTTTCAAGCTGATATACATAATTATTGAAAAAATATATAAAGGATGTGAGAGACTTGATGATCTTCACATGAATATTCCATTTCCATTTCCATAATAGCACCTGTAAAAGCCAAGACTTATCCCCCAACTTGGTCCCCTCCATTTTTAGTCCTTTAACTATTACTACCTTCCTCTATAGAGAAGTAAGATATCAGAAATTGGGCTGCAAAACGGTATTCATATTATGCTTCATTGAATAATTAATTGAAGTTTTTAAATTATTTTTCAATATTTTTTTTAGTTTTAACAAAATTTTGATGAAAAGGATCACATTTACTAACATAAACAAACACAGAGACTAAAATAAAAAATTAATAATACGAGGATTAAATTGATCGATGAGTTAAAACACAGGAACCAGGACAAGTTGTTTTATATATATATATATATATATATATATATATATATTTCCATATCATGTAATGCAGGGTGGGGTGGGGCATAATAATTAAGTCACTAAATACTATTAGTCATTTCATTTCATGTTAAGACAAACTTGTTTTTTTTATATAGATTAAGGAGTAGAATGGAGTGACAATAAAATTTGCCTTTTCTTTGGACCCAAATTCCAGCTCACAAGATTTATAGCCCAAACACCCTTTACTCATTTCACGTCAGTCTCGTCCTTCTCTCTCTCTCTCTCCCTCTCCTTCTCTCCTTTCCTGTTCTTCATAATCATAGCAGAGAAGAAATGCAAACCCATGTATAAAACTACAAGCCAAGCCAAATCACAATGCCACACGAGCAAGCCATAGATCCAAAGTTTTAATCTTTTTAACCAAATAAACAAAACCCATTCAGTAAAATCCTCCAACTTTCTCAACCCGCCATTGAAATGGGTGGTCTGAGAGAGTCATGGTGCTTCTGCAAAGGAGTGAGCAAGTCTGAGAAAATGAAGGCCGCCATTTTCTCCGGCAAGGCTCCGGCCATGGCCAGAATTTTCGGCCCCGGAAATGGGATCTCTGGTACCGGATTCCTGATCCACAGAAGCCTCCTATTGACCACCCACGTCAACCTTCCGTCCGTGGCAGCTGCGGAGAGCTCCGAGATCCGGCTGCAAAACGGTGTCGCTGCAACTCTCGTTCCCCAAAGGTATTAGCTTTGATTTTCTTTTTCTTTTATAAATAAATTTTGTATTTTTCTTAGTTACGTGGGAAGTTCAATGAAAGTGAATACTGGGTTTTGTGCTGATTTGTTTTTGGAACAGTGGAGAACCACCCGGCTGATTCTTCTGCTATGTATTAGTTTTACATTAGGTGGGCTTTATTTACTTAATTTTCGTGGGTCCCATATGATATAAATTGAAAGTTTAAGTAGTTTGATTATGATGTTTCTACCATTTTCTTATCTATCGATAGAAGTGATTAGTGTTTGTTGATAGTTGGTTGTGTCCTCTGTGTTTGTATTGGTGAGATTTGATTTGGTCAAAAGTTCTAATGTGAAATGATATTTGGGAATTAATTTATGAGTGCAGCTGTGCTGCTAAGTAATTTAATTCATTTGCGTCCAACTTTTGGTGATTGTGAAGATGTTGGATCTGAGTGGATCGTATTCATACATTCCCACAAGTAAACTATTGATTAGGAGAACAAAGTGTCATCTAATAACTGTTCTATTCGAATTAGTAATAGTTGAATGTGGAAGTCTTTAATGTAGGGGATATCGACTGGGGAGTTAGGAGTAGTGATAATGCAGTATATTAGATGAAATAAAAGTAGTATGGTGGAGGGAAGGCATGGCTTGACAGAGATAGAAAGGGCAAGAATTTGGAGGCAATAGCCGGTGACGAGAAAATGGAAGAAAGTGATTGGTAGTTTAGTTTGACATTGGCAAGTATTGGTCACTTTCTCTGAAAAAGTTGAAAGGAAAATTTTTGAAATTGCTTTCTCAAACTCTCTAGAACTGATTTGGCCAGTCCTTCCCTAGGTCATAGATTTTTTATTTTTATTTTTACCCTCAAGTTGGGTTCCTACGGCTTCTTTGTACAATTCACTTGTAATTATGTTGTTTTCTCGTGGATTGCCTCTGCGCATTGATGGTTTTGTGACACAATCAAATAAGTTAATAAGGAAAGAATGGTAATGGAAATTTGGAGTACCTAGCATCATCATCACGATTTCCATTTTAATATATGTAATTATTGAACACAAATTCTGTTGAATCTGATATACTTGCTGTTTTATACTTGTAGACTAATGGGGAAAGGAAAATTTGGGGACATTCTTCTCAAAAAGCATCAATGTATCATGGTTTCTGGTAGCCTTTGCATAATAGGCATGTAAAGTTTTTCTCATTCTTTCATTGAATTGCAGATTTTTCATCACCAGCTCCATTTTAGATCTTACAATAGTAGGTTTGGATGCGGTGGATGGAGATTCAAATGCCCAAGGCCACCTGCACCACTTGAAAACCTGCTCTAAACCAACCCTGGATCTGGGCAGTGTAGTTTACCTTCTAGGCTACACAGAGAAAAAAGAATTAACAGTTGGCGAAGGTAAGGTAGTGATAGCCACTGACAATCTCATAAAATTGTCAACTGATGGAGTGATGTGGAGCCCTGGTTCAGCTGGATTTGATGCGCAAGGAAATCTTGCATTTATGATATGTGATCCTATGAAATTAGCAACATCGCCAAACACCAAATCCTCATCAACTTCGTCGTCATCAACGTCATCATGGAAGAAGGATCTTCCTATGCAATTTGGTATCCCCATTCCAATAATTTGTGATTGGTTAAATCAGCACTGGGAAGGTAGCCTTGATGATCTTAACAAGCCTAAGCTACCACTCATTCGATTAATGTCTTCTGGTCAGAAAAGTGAGCACTCTTGTGCTTCCTTCACACAGCGGCGGGTTTTTAAGTCAACTGAAGCTGATAATGATGGAACAACTTCTTCATCAAACACAGTCTCAAAAACAAGGGACCAGCCTGGACCAAGCTGCTCTGCTGCTGCAAACATTGTTGAAGAAGAGGCCCAAACAAGTGATCCTCATGCTGCCCATGTACAGGGCATTCCTACTCCAGAAATCTATGAATCACCCAAGTTAACAGCTGTTCCTATTAGGAGAAAAGAAGGTTCCCCGATTCAGCTTTTGGACATTAATTTTCCTCCAAGGGTTACAAAACCAGCAGTTCTGCCACAGCCGACCAAAAAGTTACCACCAAATTTTGATGAGAATTTTGTCAAGGCGCCTCCACCGCGAAGCCCAATAAGAGAAGAAAACCAAATCAAGAACAGAGGACCAACCAGTCCCGACGCTGATGCTGAAATTGCCTCAACAGGTTCTGTAAATGGGGCCCAAAGTGAGGTTCAGTCTAGTTCATTCCCACTAGAAGTTTCAGATATGCAGAATGGGTATAGCAGTGAGGGAGAGACTATGTACTCCGCAGAAACTGCTGAGAGTCGAAATTATACCAGTCCTGCAGAGGGAAAGTTTCAACAAGTGGGAAGGAGCCAGAGTTGTGTGAATTATAATAGATGGGGAGCCGCCCAAAGTAATCCAGTGGCTCGCAGGGCATTGCTAGAAAAGCAAAGGAGCTTTATCCATGGAAGGAAGATGCATTCACAAGGGGCAACTTCCCAAAGGAGCAATGACTACTACAGCCCAACTGTCTCCTCAATCATGAAGAAGCGCAACTCAGAGCAGCCCGTCAGACCCCGGCAAAGTGCTGTTCATTCCTCTCCGAAATGGAATTTCTAAGTGAATCTTGACAAAGATGATACCTGAAAGTGATTGACAACGAAAATATAGTGTTTTTTGGTGTTTGAGTTAACGCCCATTTCTTTCCACTGTGGTATAGTGTACAAATTTGTTGCGACTGTGAAGAGACAGATGTCAGGTGAATAAGAAAATTCAGCAAATTGTAATTTTGCACGTGAGGAGTCATGTAGTTACTGGTTACATATCATCTGTAAATTTATATTTATTTTTTGAGGGGGAAAGACCCATGATGCACGGACACTTCAAAAACCTGTAGTGTTGGACACTTGGACACGCGGACACGGTCAACGGACAAGACACGGCGATGTTGAAATGATTCCCAATGGCAAGTAGAAATTTATATAATGCTTACTTGTATTGCGTTGTAGTTCCCCTTTTTGTTAATTACTAGAACTAGCTCTCAGTACAAGCATTTGTGATTTTAATAAAACAAGATTAAGCGCTGTCTCAACCTTAATTTCCTGGTGAATTGGCCTTGACACACAGATCACAAACTCTGAGAGGAGCTATCTATTATCTACGGGTAAAATATGGTATCACAAGTATTAACAAAGCCGATATTTTTTCTGTTCATGGGCGGACGAAGACATGAAAGATGATTGTTATTCAGAGCAAGCCTGGACAAACAAACAATAAGAGGAACAAAACTAGAGACTAGAGATGCTTCTCATTGCACATGTAACTCAAAAGAAACTGTCCAACGTTAAAAGACGTCTATGCTGCACTGTGGCATTATTCTCAAAAACTACCATGAGCCTGTTCTGATCTCCTAACACTAGCATTTAGTAGCAGATAGCAGGGCTGCCAAACTACGCAATATTGCTAAACAGCTGAGCTAAAAAAGATAAACTCCAGCACTTTATTTTTTACGACAAAGTGATTTGCCAAGTATAATTGCTGCCGGACTAGGACATAGCTCCAAAGAAAAACTACAAAATTTTCATTTCGAGATCAAGTTATATCAGTAAGACTCCAATGCAGGCTTCACTATAGCCATCTGAGGAAGAGGCAGCGTGCCAGATACATTTGAGGAGAACCAGCCAAGCTTCTCTATGAGTTTGTCAATCAGGTCACCTGCTAAGTAAGAAACACCTCCAACCCCGATCCCAATGGCAACATAGTACAGTAAAGTTTTGATGTACTTTGGTGGCTTCTGGGTGTAAGCCTTTCCAATTGCAAGAATTATGATGCATAAAAGAGAAGCCACTGCAACTGCTGCCATCTTTAGGTCCCTGTTGTTGCTCTGACGGAATGAGAAGCTGTAAACCACAGGAGGCACTAACCCGAAAACAATAAATGATAATATAGCAACAGAGGCATGAAGAAGGAAATTGTCTTTTTTCCCTAGTACTTTCTGGTATCTATCCACAAGTTCATCTGTCTGACTGGAGGGCACTCTTGATTCATCATTCTTCAGTTCCCAAAGCTGTAATATTAGTTGAAGATCAGAAAACAGTTAGCTTTGACGTTTTAATTGGATCCAATATTACTTGAAGATCAGAAAACAGGTTAAATTACTCACGTTATGACCAATGATGAAAAGTCCACCAATCAAGTTTGCCAATGCCAAAGCTAGAATGTTCACTGCAAGTATATTATACATAATAAAGGACATACTTAGCAAACTTAAACATCACCATTCCATAGCCCAAAATGAAAGTAGAAATTATTGATTACAAGCAAAGATAAAATATTATGTATCCCAAGGTCAAGTATCCCATAAGCTTAACAATAAGTTATATGCTAATTGGTTTTTAAGTTGATGTTCACTAGAGAAGACTGAGCAAAAATCATCATGATCAGCTAGATTAAAATCAGATTTGCCTTTAGGCTGGGTGATGTAATTCATGTAATCAATGATGCAAGTCAAGAATGGTTTAATTAGATTCATCTTCGAGTGCTTAAATAGCAGAGTAATACCAATTTAATTTATGTTACTGTGATACAGTGGGTTTAAACCTACATGCCTAGTACTTATCAGCCATCTATAGATTGAAAGATGAAACCCAGTAATAATACTTATAGCTACAGTATGAAGAATGTCCTACTCTGTTAAACAAAGATAAAGCTAAACATGATAATCAAGGCAAGTGAAAAAAATAAATCTTCAAATTTTCAGCTACCCTTGTGAAAACATAATAAATTATAAAATACAATACCTCATATATAAAGAATCTCTGGGAGTCCAAAAATCAACTAAAATAGAAACCACTTACATGTTGCAGTATCAGCACTGGCTGCAGATGTCACGATGCCTAAGCTTGTAATTGCTTCAGTTAAACCACCATATACAATGCTTTTGATGATTTCAAAAGTTTTAGTATCAGCTGGTTCAGTTATAATTGTTGGTTCTGGCACAATGGTGACTATAGTACTATCATGAATTTCTGTTTTAGCTAGCCCTGCATCAACAAGCCATCGCCCTAGATTATAATGTGTAAAGAAGAATATAATATGTTGACAGGGATGACAAACTTTGTTAGAATGAGCCCATATTTTCTTCTTTGGTCTTCAATTAGGCTCTTTTTTTTCTTCTAGGAGCTGTCCTGGGTATTTCACTTTCTTGACAGTAGTTACTCTAGCATTAACAAATTTATATGTATATGAGCAGCCATACGAACATTGGCTACTATACTTATGTGCATGTGAGCAGCAAAACAATGATGATGATTATATAACAGCAGGTAGAAAAAAACTACTTTGATGCAGAGGACTAGAAAAATGTAGAGGTTGTATAAACTTATAGTGTCAAACCTACTGTCTGCTTGTATAAACAGGTGGGATTGAATGGTTAAAGCATTTTGTCAAACGCATGTAAAATTGCATTAGTACGTGTTGCATTGATATAATGCTCGACACCTCCACATTCTCAAATGATTTATTGTTTATCGTTCTCATAGATCATGAGACGGTCTTGTTCATACCTGCATCATTTTCTATAAGTTGTTGGGCATCTTCTGAACTGGGTACAACATCTATTTCTGGTGCTGGGGGCTTGGTGGTTACAACTACACTAACTCCAATTGACTGACCAAGCACTGAAGGTTTTAGATTATGTATTGTTCCCTTCAAGTCATGGGATGGAATTGACGCTTCAACTCCAGCAGTGCTGCTCTCAGAATAAGTTACGGAAGGTTTATCCTTTGCACTGACTCCAAAACTAACTTCAACAGCCTCACCTGGAACTGGAGCTTTATCTATTGTTGTAGCTTTACTAACTCCAACTGACTGAGTAGGCATTGAAGGTTTTTCATCATGAAATGTTTCATTCAAGTCATGTGATGGAACTGGAACTTCAAATCCAACACTACCCTGTAGATTATTTCCTGAGGGCTTAGCTGTTGCAGCTACACTAGCTCCAACAGCCTCATTAGGCGCTGGACCTTTACTTACTGATGCAGTTTTACTATTTTGATCTTGTAGTGCTCCATCCAGGTCATGTGATGGAGCTGACACTCCACCTTCAACACTATCTTCAATATCAGTTCCTGCATCAGCACATCAAATAAGAGGTTAGCCTACTTGATAAGGAGGAAACTTGAACACCTTCATCATAGGCCAAGTTTTATATTCGTCATGCCATGCTCCTATCAGTTCCTGAACGGTGTAAAAGTGAGAAATCATGCCATGCTCGTAAAAAAAATGATATGCTCTCTTATAATAAATAGCTTGAGAGTTTCAGTCTTTTAGCTGAAATAACCTTCTTGATTTAGTTTTTAAGATTCAACTATTGGTGTGGAATTCAATAATATACGGAATATTCAATGAAACATGAGCTTGTGATATAACTACACCAATCAGATTTAGAGAAAAAATTGCTTATGCAAAGTATGCCCAAAATTCTTAAAGAACAGCAAAAGATTACCTTGCTCATTAAGGTTTCCCTCACCTTTAGGTACCGATTTAGGAAAGAACCAATTGCCTGTTGTATCAAAAGAAAGGTTAAACTATCAACCAAGAACTGGAAACAGAAAATGCAACACAACAAAATGCTTGATTGATAAACAAAAAAAGTTACAAGCAAGTAGATTCAGGTTCACAAAAGTTTAACACCCATTACCTTATGTACCATGACCTAAATATATTACATGCATATAAGATTCATAGACCTTTACATCAAAAGGTAATCTTTCTTCTTTCAATTATTAGTTAGGCAATGTAACTCCTTTGCCCTTGGAAACTCAAAATGCTGTCAAATTAGTACGTGTTCGGTTCTAGCATAGAATGCAATAAACAGAGTTAACATGGAGAAGTACCTGCAGGAATGAGGAAACTAAAGCACGAAGTGCATCTAATCGGATCATCTATCACAGGGGGTGGTGCAGTAGGAGGTACATTTTCCCATTCTCTACCGCGAATAATAACCTTTGTGATGCAAGAATTACAATTGGGACAGTAGAAATCATGCGCAGCCGGCTTCTCATACACCCTTTCAAGATATAACTCAGAAACTTCTTGTTCTCTTATTTCTCTCAAGTTAACTCCCCCACGTTCAGTTGTCCCATTGTTGACAGAAGTATAATGCCCAATTTGCTCAATTGCCTGCTTGGAGGGTGAAGAATCAAAACTAGGTAATTCTTCACCCTTCATATCATCCACATCTTGCTGGTTGGTAACAATAACAACAACACTCTTTTGATAGCTTAGGCTCTCTTCTTCTACTTCCACTGTTTCATCTCCAGGATTTTTCTTGGAAGTAAGAAAATCAACATTTTCACCATTGAATCCAGAGATCCCATATGGAGATTCAGTACCTGAAATCATGCAGCAAATAAAACATCTCATAAGAAGACCCTTGAACTTGAGCAAACACCACCATACAAACATAGTCCACCAACTACTAGATTAAAGTCCAGAAGTTGATATTTGCACTCCTATTGAGTCCCCCATACCCATATTTCTGTGTGCATGTTTGTGTAATCTGAAGGCTCTTACTTGGTCAATTAAGTAGAACCCATTTGCTTCTTCTTAGCCAATAAAACAATATTTTTAATAAATACGAGAGAGAGAGAGAGAGAGAGAGAGAGAGAGAAAAGAACTACAAGTAGCAGAAAACTAAAACCAACCCAGAATTGTTTGTGTTATGATGCATCATTAATGGTAGTTCTTGATGCATTAACTAGTGAACTAAGGTAACAAAAATTCATCTTGACTTGAAAGCTGATAAAAGCAAAACAATTAAACCCAGCTGCCATTACAAACAGATCAAAGTAGTGTCTTTTACCTCCATTTTTGCCGGAGATAAAAGTGTCATTTCTTGGCCTTTCCTCGACTTCTTCACTCACTTCAGCTTCACTAGAAGTCTCTGAGGAAAATACAAAATCACTAGAGACAGTGGTGAAGATTGTGTTGCTTTGCTGCTGGTGAGGTAGCCTTCCTCTCAAAGCCTCACCCACTTCCTCTGTCTCCTCCCACTGCTTCATTGCTTCCATTTTCAGCTAAGATAAGCAGTGTCTGGCTCTGGCAGACACAGAGACAGCTTATTTTCCACACTGCCTTGCCTTACCAAGGAAGCTCCGTGTGTCTCCATATATATATATATATATATATATATATATATATATTATCACTCACTCTAAATGTGACTTTATGACATTTGAGATACAATGTACAAGAATTCAAATTTTTTGTTTGGGTTAATGAATGAAGTCAGCTTATGAAGTCTTTGTTTTTTTGGCTAAGGAAGTCAAGCTATGGAGTTGTGTAATCTGCTAATTAAGGACACCAAAGAAAATAACTCAACTTTTTTACTCAACCTTTTTGTAGCAATTCAAGGATAAGTTAATATTCTAGTCAATTTCTTAACGATGCAATGAGCAATTTCGTCAACCCAAAACTCATGAGTGTAAAAAGTCGTCAGAAACTCTTCCCATTTCATATTAGGGCTCGAAATTCAACTACTAATCCCAATTTTTGAAGAATTTTAAACTCAAATGGCAAATTTCAAGCCCTAATATGAAATGGGAAGAGTTTCAAACGAGCACTCAAAGGTTTTGGGTTGATAAAATTGCGCCTTGCACCATTAAAAAAAATTGACGAAAATACTAACTTGTCATTGAATTGCTACAAATAAGAAGCTACAGGGTCCAAATTGACGGGATTGAAACTATAGAGTCAAAAGTAGTTGAAGTACCAAATTACATGAACCAAAAGTGACTTTAGTATAAAAAATTCGTTACACTTTAAGGGTTGAATTAAAGTATGGTGTATGCATATAAAAATATGAGTACTCTGATTTTTATGTGGATTTGATTCCTGAAGTTTGAATTTTGACAATTCTTGTTGAAATTTTATGGGAACTGTACAAGTTATTTTATTGAAATGGGATCATGGGCAAGCGTGATCTCAGTTAGTATGTTGCCAGGTTGAAATCTTTTACATGTTAGTGTTCACATGCCCAGCTAAGCACAAATCCCATATGAAAATATATATATATATATATAATTGAATAAATGAAGAGTTGCAGAAAGTTAAAAGCATTAAATGAAGGGGGCTCAAGTTGAAAGCCAACAAAACATGATACTCATTGGTGTTTTTGTTCTTTGGCAATTCGTGGTCCATATCATTTTTATCGTACTCCTTCACCTAACTCAATTCCATCCAACAGTCAGATTAATATACATCACATTCTTTTTTTCTTTGAATCAAAAGTGATGGAATAAGACGAGTATTTCTATAGGCTTTTTTTTTTTTTAATGACTCTCATCGCATTTGACACGTGAATTGAAAAATGAATGGGTATAATTGGTATATTTTTTTTTCAAGATTGTATTTTACTACGCGTGAAAAGCATGCAATGATTCCAACCCAATTAATCTTATCCTTCCTCTAGAAAATGATGGAAACTTGTGATGAAACAACTACAGTGGCACACGCAATCCTCACCATATGGAAACCATGGACACGAAGTTGTTCCAATAGTTCTTCAACTATACCCGGAAAACCCCAAACCCCAGTTAGGGCACCACTCCCCTCCCATCACCAAACAAAATCTCAAACCTATTGTGGTCAACAGCACATTCTAGTATGTGCATGTGACACATGATTTTTTTATATTATATAAAATAATTTATTCCCATGTGACATTGACCAAATAACTTCAGTGGATTAGAAAAGGAATCTATTTGTAGTTGACTAGAATAAATATATTATATGATATTATAGTCGAGTGCAATATTTCAACATGTTCACATGTTAATCCACATGAGCAAAATGGTAGTTCTATGAAGACCCAAAACTTGTCTCTGGACACCCCTTCAAAAGCTTAGAGCCTGTTAACAGAAAAAAGGTGGGCCATGCAGGGCCCATATATTCATACTGGGCCAGCCCAAAAGAGATTTCGTGGACCATAGTTTGGAATGTATCCAGAATACGACAGGTCTCCAATGTAGCTCGATTGAACGACGAAATCTAAAACGTCGGCCATAAAAGCACCGCGGTCCACGTGCATGGTTGAAAACTCTGTCACTTGTTCCCACTGGCAAGTGGTCTAAAAATTCTAATCCACTTGGCCTTCCGATCGAGTGGCAATCTCGTAATTCCCTCCAAACCCGGTGGCGTTACGTTTTCCCGGGCTCCTCATCGGTCCCATCGACCCAAAAAAATTATAAACCGAAAGCTTCGATGTTTTTGAAGTATCGCACAATCTCTTCGTCTCTGGTTGGCTGCTGTCTCTCAAAGTTCTCAACTTTGCTGAAATAGAAAAACGAAAAACACAGAGAGAGAGGAGATGTTGAAGCTCACAACGTACACTGGAGCGGACCAAATTCATGGCGTGGCCCAATGCCACTCCTTGGGCCCATCGAAACCCAACCCAACTTTCCCTCGCCGGAAAGACGGCATTTCTCTTGTGCCATGCACTTCTGCGCCTTCGAAAACGCCGGTTCTCGCCGTCGTTTCTGACCGGGGGGCCGGGAGTGTGCGCTCGGAGACTGGACCGGGTCGGGTCGAGCATTCAGTTAGCCTGGCGGACCGGTTGAGGCAGGGGAGCTTGGCGGAGGACGGGAAGTCGTATAAGGAGTGCTTTATAGTGAGGTGCTATGAGGTTGGGATTAACAAGACTGCCACTGTTGAGACCATTGCCAATCTCTTGCAGGTGAATTTGAGTTCGAATTTTGGGTTTTGATTCAATGTGGCTCTCTTGGTTTGCGTTTGTGGTCTGGATTGATTTGAATTTCTTGTGGGAAACTGAAATGTGTGAATTTTAGCATCTGGGTTTGTGTCAACGTTGCTTAATTTGATTTGTTTGGGGCAAATTTTGGGTCTTTTTTTTGTTTTGTACTGGGTACTGTGTTTGCTACTTCCCTCACATGCATTTATGAAATGAATTGCATTATTTAATGCTCCAATTGTATTTCGTTGAATTTTAGCTCTCTCTACAATCATATGACTCAGATGTGATGGTTTGATAAGTCCCTGCAATCAATTCCTCTGGCAATAAACTGAGACATTTCTCTTTTCTTTCTGAAATTGTATAAATTGTACAATGTTAGCTGTGGTCATGTAAAATTTTGATTGCTGTAAGTTACTGAATTACTTGTCATAACTTATTTATTTAAGTATTTAACCACTGTAAGTTTGTGATGTAATTAAGTGATTTTTATTTTAATTGTTAGATATCTTAGTTCCCTGAAACACAATTGAGGACACTGGGATTAGTTTCCTTAGATGATTCTTGTTATAGTATTTTCTGCATTAACTAATTCAGTTGTTGAATTGAGGAGAAACCCTGATTAACTACCTTATACAATTGGTATTCTTCTAATGGTTTTCATATATTCCCCTTTGAACATTGTTGATGCAGGAGGTTGGATGCAACCATGCTCAAGTTGTTGGCTTTTCAACTGATGGTTTTGCGACCACCACCACCATGAGGAAAATGCATCTCATATGGGTTACTGCTCGCATGCATATTGAAATCTACAAATATCCAGCTTGGTAGGATTTCTTTTTTATCTTACTGTTCTGGTTTGGATTTCTAAACTAGCAAGTGAATCTTAAAATGCTGGTGTGTGATACAGGAGTGATGTTGTTGAAATAGAAACATGGTGCCAAGGGGAAGGGAGAATTGGTACTAGACGTGATTGGATAATGAAGGACTATGCCACTGGTCAAGTCATTGGAAGAGCAACAAGGTGCATATCATGTCTGCTTTTTGTTATACAAAGTTTTTAAGAAGTTCAAGAAAACTTGGTTTAACAATGGAAGCACTGGGTTTTCACTTGTACTACATTAAAATTTGTGTTGAAGTACATGGTGTTGTATTGAACCAACTTCCTCATTCTCCTTTATCTTGTATTTGAGTCTGGCATCTTTCTTGGAACTGGTAAGCATGTATGTACTTGTGGCAGGTCTTTAACTTTTAAGTTACTATCTTCTTGAAGGAAACCCAATTTTTTTCTTTCACGGATGCTTCTTGGGCATGGAGATATTTTAGTCTGGCTATTTGCATGAATGTTGCTACTTCAATCTTTGCTCATGTTCATTTTCTTTTTCAATAAAGTAATCGTCCATTTTTTAGATTACCTTTGGTTGTTGAATGCTTTCTGTAATTCTGTGTTACATTATTTTAACTAATCAACCTTTGTCAAATTATGGGAACTTATTGTGGGATATATTCCGAAAATTGGCCATTCTGCATGGTTTCAGTAAGTGGGTGATGATGAACCAAGACACTAGGCGACTTCAGAAAGTCAGTGATGATGTTCGGGAAGAGCATTTAGTATTTGCTCCACGAGAACTGAGGTAAGGAGCCCCTTCTTCATTTCAAATGATATGGTTAACATACAGACTTTGGCACACATGCACACACTTCCTCTTGCACAATCTCCTAATTGGTTTTTTGGCATTGGTAGGTTAGCCTTTCCAGAGCCTAACAATAGTAGCTTGAGGAAAATAGCTAAACTGGAAGATCCTGCTCCATATTCCAGACTGGGACTTGTGGTAAGGTTTTTAAATTCATTTGAAGTTCTCAATTTTTTTCAGTTTCTCAGTACGATTTTGAACTTCTCAGCCAAGGAGAGCAGATCTGGACATGAACCAGCACGTTAATAATGTCGCCTACATCGGATGGGTTCTAGAGGTTGGTAGATATGTCTCTTCAATTCATAATTTGGTTTCGAGGGATCTATGGAAGTAAATCATCGTTGGTCTCACGAATATGTTCTCTTTTTATGACAGAGCATGCCTCAAGAAATCATTGATGGCTATGAACTGCAAACAATCACCTTAGATTACAGGCGGGAGTGTCAACGGGATGACATAGTTGATTCCCTTACAAATGTGGAACCTTTAGAGGATGGTCCAGCTATTTCAGGCTTAGAAGGAACAAATGGATCTCCTGCTGCAACAGAAGATACAAAGGACTACTGTCAGTTTTTGCATCTACTAAGATTATCAGGTGATGCTTCAGAAATAAACCGGGGACGAACTGTCTGGAGAGAAAAACCTGCAAGATGAGGAAATATCTTATCTCTTGGCTCCACTGGTTTTTTTATTTATTTCGTTCCTATTTGTCTTTGTTTTTGTCCCTTATATTAGAGATTTTGTTTCCTTGTTGATGTCAATGTCATAATTTGCTTTCCTGAGTTTTTTTATCGCTTCCCAATTGGCCCTGCTACCAAAATGTCCTTATGTCTTGCACTGATGTTAAAGTATCCTCGAAGAATATTTAACAGCGTTATGTTGTATCTGTCATGTTAGAGTGGAAATGTAAGGTTCGGATTTTAGTTTGCAACTGTAACACTTCTGTTACCATTGGTCTGTGATTCTTGCTGGTTTACTTTGAATTGATGCAAGGTTGGAATTTTAGTTACCTGCCTTCTTTCTTTTCTTTTAATCTTTTTTTTTTTTTTTTTTTTTTTTTTTTTCTCTTAACTATCTGTTGGCTTATGGAAGACGAAGACATTAGTCGAATTCGTGTGAAATTAACAATGGCATCCAAAGTTTGTTCAATTTTCAAACCCTTTTCGTGACGAAACCATTAGATCCATTGGGAGGGCCATGAGGCATCAATGAAGTTACCAATTCTTCCTGTCTATGACCACCAGAACAACCTAATATCATACCAACAGAAGAAATCCTGGCCAATTCCCACCTTTATTTACTTCTGTCCCTATCAAAAAGAAGCCATGCCCATGGGGGTCCGCAGATTTAAAAACCACAGGGCCCCACTCAACTACTACATTCTATAACGACCAAAATCTCCATGCAGACGCGATTGAATGCCATTCCCAAAATAAGTACACAAAAGATGCTCTCATTCTTCAGTCTCACACACTACACCAGTATTTATAGGGGGTGACCTCTACACAATTTCCCCATGCAAAAAAACTAGTGGAAAGAGGAGAGAACCATGAAAATGGGTATGGAGAATTCAGAGTTCTTTCTCATTCTCATAGTATTTGTGGCATTTCTGGTGGGTTCTCAAGGTGTAGGTGACAAGGAAAAGAAAGGGGAGCTCTATAATGCTAAAAATGGAGGGTATGGAGGAGGGCCTGATGGAGGGTATGGAGGAGGACGCCGGATGGGGGGTATGGAGGAGGACCTGGAGGAGGGCCTGATGGAGGGCATGGAGGAGGGCCAGGAGGAGGGCCTGATGGAGGGCATGGAGGGGGGCCTGGAGGAGGGCCTGATGGAGGTTATGGAGGAGGGCACTGATGGAGGGCATGGAGGAGGGCCAGGAGGAGGGCCTGATGGAGGGCATGGAGGAGGGCCTGGAGGAGGGCCTGATGGAGGATATGGTGGAGGGCCTGATGGAGGATATGGAGGGGGGCCCTTTGGAGGATATGGAGGAGGTCCATATGGAGGATATGGGGGTCCATTTGGTGGCTACGGAGGAGGCTTTCCATTACTTGGGGGGCTTCCATTACTTGGGGGTCTTCCTTTGCTTGGAGGGCTTCCATTTCTTGGGGGGCTTCCACTTCCTTTTGGAAGGCTTGGGGGGCTTCCACTTCCTTTTGGAAGGCATGGGAGCGGATTTGGTTCTGGCATCCAGGGGACTAAAGCTAATGATGAAAAAGGAGATTATGGCGGGAAGGGAGACTTTCTTAACCCTAAAGGTGATTATGGCGGGAAGGGAGACTTTCCTAACCCTAGAGGAGATTATGGAGGAGAGGGAGACATCCCTAGCCCTAAAGGAGATTATGGCGGGAAGAAAGACATTCCATACCCTAAAGGAGATCATGGTGAGAAGGGAGACATTCCATACCCTAAAGGTGATTACGGCCGGAAGGGAGGCTTTCCTAACCCGAAAGGCGATTATGGCGGGGGGAAGGGAGACATTCCTAACCCTAAAGGAGATTATGGGGGGAAAGGAGACATGCCTAAAGGTGATGGTGGAGCTGGTGGTGGCCAGTATCCATAGCCAAACAGATGTTGGTCAACTGAACTGAGGTGTATTTTAACCATATAAATAACTAGCCTACTTTAACCATATAAAAAACTAGCCTAGCTCAAGAACTTCGGCCTCTTTGGGATTGTTAGCTCATCTATAAGGCCACAGGACATTGGTGCTTTACATATCTGTAATGGGTTAGCTTTTTAATAAATTTGCCTCAGTTGTCTCCAGTCTCCCTATTTCTGCCTTGAAATCTATAAATTTCTTCTCTCTTTATTTATGTAATTCTTCTGGCCATCTCTCTCCTTCTCCCCGTGTAATATAATATGTAAGACAGTCTTCAGAATTTTATAGCAGTGTGATTTATTGAATTAATATAATTGTTAATAAAATTTAAACATGTTAAACCCCAATTTTAACGACAAGAAGTCCAAACCAGAAGAACGGTGTGACCCCTGCATTGTATTAGAGAAGCTACTAGATGCACATTGAAAATCTGTTTATATTAGATTGTAATCAACACCTGTTCACGATTACTAGTCAACCATAAACCATAAATTGAAATGAAGCTCCTACAGTTAGTAATTCAGCACAATGAATTACACATCCGAAAGCTAATTTGCATTAACATCTCAGCCACAGAGGCATAAAATTAGATGTAAGGTGACAAGACATGAGAGTACAAATACCCCACCAACCAATAAGATTTTTCCATACAAAAAACCATCATCCTCACTAGGCCTAATAAGCGGCACATATTTGAGACCAGTCATTTTTAAGTATGGAAAATCATTTCTGCAGGCATGCCAAAACAATTCTTTAATCCTTCTTCCTCGAAAAGCACCTTACAATAACCCTGCTACGAGAGAGACAGAGAGACCGTGTATTAGTACTTAACAACGAGCAAAACATAAATTCTATAGCCATAAACTGAATATATTGATTGACTAACGAAAAATTATCTTATAATCATGAGAAAATGCCTTTTCTTCTTCTTCTTCTTTTTATTTTTTTATTTTTTATTTTTTATTTTTTTCTGATGCTTATAAGAGAATTAGCAGTCAAGTAACTAGCTAGCACTATTTGTTACCTTTAACCCCTAAAAAATTATATATTGAAGGCAAAAGGTTACTACTACCAAAATTTGTGTACAGAAGTGCAAAAGTGTGCAAAAACATGTATCAACTCCACCAAAAAATAAAAAAAGTCATAGAATAGAACACTGGAGCGAACTTACATCACCAATATAGGCATGAGTTGCACACTCATCTGGTCGTAGGGAGGAATACCCTAATGAGTTCTTTCATAGTTACTTTTCTCCTACACGTAGGGCATTTACCCTGTGCACCTATCGCAGCCCTAATGCATGCCTTACAGAAAATGTGACCACATTTCGTTGACATCTCCTCAACTAATGGGGCCATGCAGATGGGGCAGCTAAAAGTGGGCTCCTTTGGTGGGGGAGGTGCTGGTTGTGCAACACTCTCTTTCTGCAAACAAATATACTTGAGATGAGTATGAACCATTCACACACACCCAACAAAGGAATACAGTGCTCTAATTTCAGAAGAATACAATTACCGTGGAGCTGGAATTGTTATTGCTTTCCAAATTTATGTAGAAATCACAATTAATTATTGTTTGGTTTGGTGCAACTCTTCTGCGCTTGTTACGAGTGACCCTAGTTCGTTCTGCAATGATCACAGAGAGAGAGAGAGAGAGAGAGATGTGAGAGACACATAAAGATCAATGCAGAAGAAAACATGTGTTAAAAAATGTGACCAACAAACCACCTGGCTCTACAAGCATATAACACAATAACAGCAATATGGGGCAACTAAGACTTGCCACTGACAAATTCTAGCTCAATGATGAGCAGATTTTCTAAAACCCACCCCTAACCTTTCTAGTTTAGAACAATAAACAAAGAAAATAATGAATAAAAAGTCTATCAGCTTGTGCAGGTTGTCCAAGACAACTTTGAAGACTCTGAAACTTACAATATGAGCTTCTCATCCTACTAAGAGCACTAGAGAAAAAAGATGAGTAGATGAGTCTGACCTTCTCTCCAATTATTTATCTCATAGGTTGCACGGCTTTAAACTTTTAGTTGTATGTAAACAAACTTCATAGAAAAATCGAAAGGAAAACATTCAAGATGTCAACTAATCTTATGAAGTTGGACAGAATGAACTAAGAATCAATAACAAATTAATGGAACAACACAGAATCTTCACGGTATAATAACAAAGGGAAATACATAAAAGCCAAAAAGTTCTGATGTAAAGAAATGATAAAGTTTATAATACAACAGAACAAAATTACCTAAATCCACATCAACAGTGATCCTTCTTTGGTTCCTCCTGGCATTGTTTTTAGCCTGACATAAAACATCAAAAGATTAAACTTATGTTTATATATACACATATACATACCAAGTGGACGGATATAACCACAACAAAAGGTATGTGTAAACTTAATATAAGGCATACCTCAGCAAAAGCCCTGGGGGAGGATTCAACAACATCATCATCAATAGCCTCAACATCAATCATATTAGGTGGTGCGGACTGCCCTTGCAGGGTAGCTTGATTATTCTGAGGATCTGCCGGGGTTGAAGTTCCCTCCTGATCCCGATTGTCACCAGGGGGCGCACTATTGAGGTCTAAGTCCACCCGATCCTTCCTTCGGTTTACATACCTGGCCGCTCGAGTGTTCATGTTATATGTATGGTCTCCTATCCAAGATGTTGCTTGAAAACCTACATTTTTTCCAATGTAGTCATCTTATTCAAATACATGTTTAATTTTGTTGGAAAGCAAATGAAGAATAATATAAACAAAAAATTAATAATATACTTGCATAATTTTCAATTACAGCAATAAAGGATATGACATTAAGCCAAAGAGATACGATAAGTCTTTTCTTTTCTACAACTTTCTTATCAAATATGTGGACAGTAAACTACCCCGTGCCATGATAAACAAACAAACTAATGATCACGTTTAACTCAAGCTAGGGCACCCATTCCCATGCCTCATATCACCATAATTAACCAAACTCCACCAAATTGTATTCAATTCTACGAAACTCGGGCATAAAATCTAGAAATGGAAACCCTAGTCACAACCCACAGACTGGTCACTGAGCATATCAAAATTGAGTCCACAATGAACCTGAATGAATTCCATAAAAACGCAGTTCACTGCAATTACACATGTATGTCCAACCAAACATGGTCTATTTCCATTGTATCTAACTGTGTGACCAAAATGTGATCATATCTTCACAACGAAGTACTGCCTAAGAATAAATCAAATCAGAATCGATTTGTAGATAACGTTGCCAGCACATTCAAACCTTAGCAGTAAAACTATTATTTTTCAACTCAAGCATTCAGCTTCCTCTAAAAATTCGCAATTTCTAAAAATCCAACGGCTCGATAAATCGGAAAAACAGGGTGAAAATTATCGGATTCCATCAAAATCAAATTTTCCTAAGCCCCAAACAGCACGAAAAAAGAAAGATATCAAGCTCAAAAAATCAGGAAAAAGCGGTAAAAAATTTATCAAAAATAATAAAGAAGAAATCGCAGACAGAAACCCTAGGAAACCAATAGGCACAACCAGAATCGAGATTCCGAGAAGGAGAAATCGAGATTCTAACCTCCGATATTTGAAAAAGCAAACGAAAGATATAAGAACTTGATAGTTAAGATCGTACCTTTGATCAGAGAGTTTGAAGAGGAAGAAGAAGTTATTAAAGTTTTGCCTGCGTTGGGCAGTGGTTTTCAACCAAGACGAACGAGAGAGACGAAAGAGAAACACAACATGGACTTTGAGTCTCTGCGATACACGAGTCGGTGAGGGCTGAACCAGGTCCACGTGTCCTAGTACGTGTGAGATATGCGCAAACGATCTCTTCCACAACTGAAAGGAAAAATTAAACAAGAAATCTTTATGCTATAAAAAAAATATTATTTTTAAGGAATTCTTGAATTTTCTTTTGTTATTGACTGTAATTTGGACACTTTTTTCAATTGTTTCTTATGTAGGATGTTTTCCTTTATACAAACGATGTTGAAGGAGGGGGAAATCTTACGTAGGATGTTTAAGTAATGAAATTATTTTGTAAAATGCATTTTATTTAAGTTTTTTGTTGAATTTTTTAAAGATATTTAGTCAAATACCCATTCTTGACACTAAAACTCTCTATTAAATTTAATTTTAATTATTAAATTACTTTGATGCCCCATTAAGTGTTTTGGACTTTTTTATGAAGTTTTTAGGTTAAGTTTATTTTAAGAAATTAATGACAATTTTGTAATTTAAAAGAAGTTACAAGCTTTTTTGTTGTTGTAAATAGGCTTTAAGTGTGTTTCTAAAATCCATTTTATATATGGTTTTTTTATAATTTAGACTCCTTATTAGTAAATCTCCCAATTTTTTAATATTATAATTAGAATTCTCAACATATGAAACAGGCCGTGTTATGTTACTTGTTAATTTTGCGGTCATATTCGTGTCAAATTTGTTCACTAATACCAAACCGTTAACAAAGCATGTCATAAAAAGAAAAGAAAAAAAAAAAAAAAAGGGTCCCTCTCCAGGTATATGTTTGACTCAAATTAATTTACAAATTATCTAATAGGTATGTAAAATTGGGCTTGAGTTGGGTTAGAAACGAATTTAGGTCGGGCCTATTGAGTTTTTAGGTTGACATGACGAAGGTAAGCCCAACCAATACTTCAAAAACATGTATCACCTCAAATCGGAAAGCAAGGGAAGGTAGAAGAATTAGATGATCAGGGACTCAGTGCAAGAGAGTCAATAGAGGAGCCAAAAAATTTGCTTGCTCACTAGAAAAGATCAAGTTCATTTTCTATATGAAAGAAAGAACATGTTACAAAGGCAGTAAATAAGAAAGATTTATTCAAAGAAAGGAAAAAGAAAAAAAAAAAAAGAGACAATTACATTTCTCTTGATACAGATCAAACATGACACAAACCTTTGCTCAAAGTAGCAAAAAAGGGTTGAGTTAGACATGTTCTTACAAAGTTCTACATCACAGCTTCTGTCAATCTCACCATAAAGCTATTCATTTTAGCTGCCTCCAGAACAATCCATGAAGACTCAAACAACTCATGGAAGAACTCTGCTCCAATCTCCTGAGCTGCATTTCTAAATGCCATTCCAAATGCGTTTCCTTGAACTGCCCCGAGTCGAGGCTTCCCACAAACCCCAACTATCAATACCTTTTTCGGCTCTTGTACCAAGCAAGCACAAACCAGAGGTTTCATTCTAGCCCCCTTCTCTCTCAGACCATCCATCAGGAAATAGCAGAATTTAGTTAATGCCTGAGGGTACCCCAACAATTTTGCATCCAAAGAATCTTCAAGTTTCACCCACCTAAATTTCCTTCCACTTCTTATACAGCCTCTCTTGGTTATTGCCATGCTTCCTTGTCTAAGAATTGCCCTCTGTATCTTAATTGCTTGTTGCATTCCGGCTTTCAGTTTATCAAGATTGTTCAATGACAATGCATCATAAGCCATCCCAAACTCTCTGGAAGCACAAGAACCATTTGAGGTCACATACGATTCAAGCAGAGCTGTAACTCCATACACCACATCTGCGGCAGATACCTTTGATCTGTAACCATGGAGCCGCAGAAAGCTCCTGTAGTAGAAATCTGTAAGTCCATATTCGGGTAAAAACCGCTCGAACTCCTCTTTCATCAGCTGTTTCACTTCCTTATCCATGTACTTGTACTTCTGCTGGCAATCCACAAGCGAAAATCCCATCCTTGCAAGAAGAAGCTTAAGCTTCTTCATCCCATTGTCACTCCATGTCTTCAATTTAGTTGCAATGTACGAAGAGCAAAGCATGGAATCAAATAAATTCCATTCCTGCAACAGCATTAGTCTAGGTTCATCTTCATATGTAATTCTAGACGACTGGGGTGCACGAATCTTTGTCCCATCTTTGAGAGTCACAGTAGTTACTGCCTCCAAATTCCCGGAACTATTAATATACTGCTCAAGCTCCATCACCCCAGCTTGGTACCTCTCATCTGTTAACCTCTCGTGCAAAAACTGATCCGTTATTGAAACACAAGCCAACCAAAGCAACTCATTTGTGTTCTTCCTCAAAGAATGTGACAGATCATACATCAAACACCCTGAAGGCTTACCATGAAAAGTACCCAAATGATAATATTTCCTCTTCAGTTCCCTAAAGATCTTGACTGGGTCATTTTCCTGAGATACCCTTCTTCGCTTTCTCGACCCTTCTCCATTTTCTTCTTCTTCCTCACTTTGGCTGTCATCATTCTCATCGTCGTCACTGTCGCTGTCCGATTCGGGATCCAGCTCGTCATCACTATTCAAATCACTGGCATTAGCCAAAGCCGAAACATCCTCAATATCATATGCCAAATCTGTCTGCCTCTCATCATCCAAAGTATAGAGCACAACCACACGATCATTCTGATCACTCAGGTTATGCAAATGAATCGGACGGTGACTATCAACCACAAAAACACGAGCCCTGGGCCCCAAATTGAGGAGCTTCCTCAGGTCCCTGTGGCAACCCCAATTGATTAAGAGAATTGAAACCGGGTTTTCGGACGAAGAACACAGATCGGGCCCCGCGTACTTGTGAATCTCTTGAAACGACGAGACCGGATAGCAGGCGTATCGGACCGAATCGGATTCGAGGACATGGAAGATGATTTTGAGGGCACAGAGAGAGTCCACATCCGAAGTCGATGGGAATATGAGAAGAGGAGATTGAGATTGAGACCCCGCCGTAGCGGATTCGCGGAGCCTGGTGTAGAAGGACTCGACAGTCTTCTCTCTCACCATGAGTTCAGAGCTTAAACTCAGTTGGGCATAGAGATTTCAAAACTTCTAAGCAAAATAAAATATTTTCTGTGTATCCCAATTCACCGAAAAGCTAATTTCAGTTTGTTTTTTTTTTCATACAATTGCTCAATCGGGTACACAAATTTGAGGCAACAGAGTCGAGTTTCGAGCGGAACCTAATATGTGAATCTACAAATTGAAGTAAAAAATGAAAGGGATTTGCTCCAAGAACATGAATGGAAATCTGAAGCCAAGTGAAGTACCTGATATGTGTGCGGATTCGAACAATGCAATCGGTTCTCTGTACTCAGTTCAGCTATGGCAGATTGGCAATCAGATCTCGGGAGAGACAGAAAGGCTGAGACCGAGAGAGGGAGGGAGAAGGGAGAGAGGGAGAGAGAGAAAGAGAGGGTTTTATTCTTTTAGGTTTCAAACAACACATCTAAAATTTTCGTTTGAGTTTTGTTAACGTATTTTTAGTGAAATTTGAATTTTTTAAACGAGCCGCGAAACTTTGGCGCTCAATTAGGGAATTTGAGTTGCGTTTGGTGCACGAGTCCTCTGTGAGCGCCCTTACGCTGGACTCACCTTGTTTGTTCCGGTGGATCGTGGATGTGAGGTCAGGAGTAGTCCGATTCAACGGTCAAGATTGATTGATCGCTGACAGCGAAGCGACATTGACTGTTGACCCTCTTTTTCTCTTTTGTCGTTTTCCGTGTCGGCGGCTCGCACTCTAATGTGAATTATTCTGTTATGAAAAGGAATTCATCGGGACATCATGCGCGGCGTGCCACTTGGCACGCGAGAGCTTAAGTTCTATTTTACGTGAATTTACTAAAAGACCTTGACAAGGGAAAAAACCTTACTTTTAACTGGGATGACACTATTTTGTTATCTCTGTCAATAACATAATAAAATATAAAAAAATTATCACGCGTATTATTGTGTTATTTTTCGGGAATTGTAAAAAGTGCTATACCCTTTGCTTGAGCGTTTCTCTCCTTGGCCAAGTTGAGGTTGGGTTTGTGCACACAATTTTTTACACAAATTAATACACAAAACTTAAATCTATTCAAGTAATTCTCCAATGCACTATGGTTACTTGATATTACCAATTCATTAATATTATAACTTGTGGATGTATATATTATTAATATTATACTCTAAATTCATGACATCAATCGTATTAATCAGGTCGTTTACTCGACATCACATGACAATCAATTTTAGATTTTCTTCGATTTCTTATTTTTCAGATGGGGTGATATGCGAGACATAATCAATTGAATCGTGCTTGATATAAAACTTCAATCCAAAATTATTTTTTGGAGTTTATCTATAATCTCTAGTAACATGCGAAATAAAATGAATCCAAAAACCGAGACAAATATTGCCGGAATATATAGGAATAGAATCAAAGAATAATCTGCATTTGGTTTTTCCAGCCACATATAGGAATTAAATTGATAATGTTCAATGGCACAACAGAGCAAACACAGCTAAATATGAAAAGAAGGAAGAAAAATAGAAGGGAAAAAGGGAAAAAAGAAAGAAAAAAGATTTCCAATTAGAATGGAATGAAATCTTTTATTAATACAAAACACACATGCTCAGATTAAATGAATGCACTTTATAGAAGGTACCCCTCATGGACAGAGCCCTTAAAGATATTTACAGGTCCAAACACCTTACAATTTACCCACAAATTCAGAGATACATCAATATCATTTTCTGCTCCATGGAAAGCAGCAACTCTGCAAAATTGAGTCAAGAAAAGAAAAGAATAGAAATGAGACATAGAAACCAGTAAGTTATATGAAAATAATGAAACCATAAGAAGTTATGACTGGATGAGAAACGGTGATTGATGACAAACCTTAGCAGTGTCATTGGCAGCCTGCTTCCGTGCATCCTGGTACGATGACTGAGAAGGAGTGCCTGGTGCTTTCCCTGCCTTCTCCTCCCTCACTTTATTGAAAATGTGAGTGAAACCGTCAGCTGATGCAGGATCATTCTCATCCCACTCGCCAAATTTCGGAACAGCAGCACCT